TTATTTTGGTGCCGGCCTCATGCTCTGTCTCCGCTTTTCTTAGCAGTCTGGTTTCCTGCAGGGTAGTTGAGTAGAGATGCTGTTGTCAGGCTGCCCACATAGATAGTATTATTGTGCTCAGTTATGGGACTGAACTCCCAGGATTTGCACTAATATTTTAAACAACTTTGACTGCCTCATCTCTGTTTGGACTTGGATATGAGTAAGCATCAAGAGTGTGATGATTTGTTCTCCAGACTAGCTTTTGCAAAGAGGTGCTCAAAATTGAAATTACCTAAACATTTCTTGTAAACATCAAGCCAGGGGCATCCAAGTTACTTGTTCCTTACTATAAGGATTAGATCAAATCAGCGATATCTTCACACTGAATCACAAATCCATAACAACTTTGCTGAAGACTTTGGCTTCATGTGTTTGGAAATATTTGATGTTGTTTCTTCGTCTGTATTATACATTATCCTCAGTATAACCTCTCAACTGCCTATAGAAATAATACCCAGCACATTTTTCAGTTTGGAACATGATAGGTCTATTTTACATTATACTCTCACAGCACTCTTGTGAATTAAGTTACTGTCTTTGTACAGGGTTAGATTGTTAAGTGACTTGTCCGTAGTCACCTAGTAAGCAAGTTTAGTTCTCCTTTTCTTCTACTACAGCCATTTCACATACATAATTACTTAAGTATGTAGTGTGACTTTCAGGTACAGTGGAGAAGAATTTACTGTTTTTGCTTTGCTGCTTTGATTACAGGATGATGTGGGCTGCTGGGGCAGTGGCAGCCATGTCTAGCATCACCTTTCCAGCTGTCAGTGCACTTGTTTCACGAACTGCTGATGCTGATCAACAAGGTGAGTTGACAGGAACCAGCGATAATTATTTAAAAGTACAGAATGTTCTAATCCTGTGTTCTGTCTCCTAGGTACTGAAACATAAGTGTATCTTCAGGGTAGAGGATTTTAAAATTGCTTTCGATGTAAACAGAAAAAGCAGATTCTAGGGTATTTACCCTTAGGTAGATAGATATTCCCTTTTCTCTCACTTAGAATTTGGGGCTCCATCTGTTCTGTTCTTAGAAAATTTACTAATGAGGCTGGGCACAGTGGCTCATAGCTGTAATCCCAACACTTTGGGAGGGTGAAGCAGGCAGATTGCTTGATTTTAGGAGTTGGAGACCAGCCTGGGCAACATGGAGAAACCCCATTGCTAAAATGCAAAAATTAGCTGGGCAGGGTGGCCCATGCCTGTAGTCACCGTTACTTGCGAGGCTGAGGTGGAAGGATCACTTGAACCTCAGAGGCGGAGGTTGCAGTGAGCCAAGATCAGACCACTGAACTCCAACTTGGACGACAGTGTGAGACTGTGTCTCAAAAAAAACATATACTGATGATACTGGCCACAGTATATTAACTAAACATTAAGTTTTTGCTGTGTTGTGTTAGATACCTTGTGGGATATATTCATAGACCTTTTATGAATGTTGTCCCAGCTACCTGGGAAGCTGAGGCAGGAAGATTGCTTGAGGTCAAGTGTTTGAAGCCAGCCTAGGCAACACATGAAGACACCCATCTCTTTAAAAAAAAAAAAAAAGAAAAAAAAAAAAAAACGCCTTATAGTTCCAGTCATTTAAAGATATATAACACAGCAAACATCTTTAATGTCATATGCTGCTTTTGTGTGTGTGTGTGGGAACATTTAATTCTTGGAATGCTAACAGATGAAGAATAATTCTTTAAAAAGGATGTGTTTTGTCTAGTCATAAGGAGAAAAGGGGCACTGCAAAACAGTGGCAATGATCACTGGGTTGATAAATGAGGAACGAAAGGCCTATGGCCAAAGCAAGCTGCATTTTAAATTAAAGATCCAAGAGAGAGAAACAAATATCAAATGCTATAAAAACAGTGTGATTGGCTCACGCCTGTAATCCCAGCACTTTGGGAGGCCAAGGTGGGTGGATCACCTAAAGTCAGGAATTCAAAATCAGCCTGGCCAACATGATGAAACCCCATCTCTACTAACAAAAAAAATACAAAAAAATTTAGCTGGGTGTGGTGGCACATGCCTGTAATCCCAGCTACTCGAGAGGCTGAGGAAGGAGAATTGCTTGAACCCAGGAGGTGGAGGTTGCTGTAAGCCAAGATCGTGCCACTGCATTCCAGCCTGGGCAACAAGAGCAAAACTCCATCTTTAAAAAAAAGGGTGATTGGCCGGACACAGGGGCTCATGCCTGTAATCCCAACTTTGGTAGGCTAAGGCTGGAGGATCCCCTTGAGCCCAGGAGTTCAAGACCAGCCTACGCAACAAACTGAGACCTCATCTCTACAAAAAAAAAAATACAAAAATTAGCCAGGAATGGTGGTGCGTGGTGCATTAGCCTGTAGTCCCAACTATGGGGGAGGCTGAGGTAGGAGGATCATTGGAGCCCAGAAGTTGAGGCTGCAGTGAGCCCAGTTTGCACCACTGCACTCCAGCCTGGGTGACACCCCACTTTATTTTTGACTAAAAGGAGTCTTAAGTAGTTGCTTGAGGACAGAGTTGTTTTAACATTGGTACTTGTGAAATCGTGACTGATATTTAACCAGCCATGTTTTGAAGGCTATAATCTAGGGAAATAAAGTGCTTTTGCCCACTTGTTTCTATGTTAGACCATATATGGGTACATCTGAGCTCATGTTTGCATAGGACAGCTTATTACACTTTATAGAGCTTCTAAGTATTAATAGTTTTCAATGGCATTGCTATAAATTGCTAGTGTCTGATAAGAACCTTGATTTTAGATTGTGATTTCGTATTTGTACTGGTTCTAGGGTAGGGAAAAAATAGTACTTTACTAAGTGGTAATTTCTTTAAACAATATAGGTGTCGTTCAAGGAATGATAACAGGAATTCGAGGATTATGCAATGGTCTGGGACCGGCCCTCTATGGATTCATTTTCTACATATTCCATGTGGAACTTAAAGAATTGCCAATAACAGGAACAGACTTGGGAACAAACACAAGCCCTCAGCACCACTTTGAACAGGTAATTCTCATCCACATGATAAAATTATATAGTTCACTTGGCTAGATTAAGACCAGTTCTTGGTCACAAAAGCTTTATGTGAGACTCTATTTGAGACTGAATAAAATGTTTAAAAACCATAGTTTAAGGGACTGTGTTCTTCTATCTACCACCTTGTGAAATTGGTTATTTTTTTTTCCACTTGAGAATGAAAAATTTTAAATATCTAGTTTGTCAATGGCATATGTAACAAACCATTTCTCTATATTGTTAGTCTTTCTTTTGAAACTTTTGTAATATCACAGTTACGTATGTTAAGTCTGCCTTTTGTATGAAAAGTCAGTTATGTGCTGGTAAATACCTTTGTTCACTTGCTTGCTATACCTCCCTCCTCTCAACTGAAAATTAATGCCAAACACTGCTGATAATTTTAGGCAATATTAGCAGCTCATCAGTTTCCTGGTTTACTTAGCAAAGTTCTGCCTAATCTTCCAACCCACTAAGACTACAGTGGGCTACACACAAAACCAGCAGTGTAAGCTTTTACTAAGAATGATATAATTTTAGGCTAAAACAAAGATCTATTTTTCTTGGTTTTTCTGTGTTTTTCTCATTTTCAGTCACTTGAAAATATAATTACCTTCTTGAAACAAAGAAATGGTAATTTATTTTGCGACTGTAGTAAATACTGTATACTGCCTGATTTTTTTTGTTTTCTTTTGAGACAGTCTCTCACTGTCACATAGGGCTGAAATGCAGTGGCACAATCTTGGCTCACTGCAACCTCCGCCTCCTGAGTTCAGTGATTACAGGCATATGCCACCATACCTGGCTAATTTTTTTTTGTATTTTTAGTAGAGATGAGGTTTCACTGTGTTGGCCAGGCTGGTCTCAAACTACTGGCCTCAAGTGATCTGCCTGCCTCAGCCTCCCAAAGTGCTGGGATTATGGTCTTGAGCCACCGCACCCGGCCTGATTTTATTTTTGAGGTCTTTCTATAAACGTTTTCCCCTTGGACTAACAAAATAAGTGAAGGCTCACAGAACATCTGTGTTCACATTTTGTGTTGAAAGTAATGATAGAATATTTTCACAAAGGCTATTTAGCCAGTTGTTATCCCCAGAATTTTATAGAGAATGAGATAGTATCCCTTTTCTCCTAAAAGGGGAATGCCTTTTATAATTATGGCTTTAATAAAAAGAGCAATTAACTTGTAATTCAAAAATTAATACTAAAAGGTATGCAGTTTCTCCTTAGGAGTAAAAGTACTTGTGTAAAATTCCTAATTACTTTATTCTTCCTCAGAATTCCATCATCCCTGGCCCTCCCTTCCTATTTGGAGCCTGTTCAGTACTGCTGGCTCTGCTTGTTGCCTTGTTTATTCCGGAACATACCAATTTAAGCTTAAGGTCCAGCAGTTGGAGAAAGCACTGTGGCAGTCACAGCCATCCTCATAGTACACAAGCGCCAGGAGAGGCCAAAGAACCTTTACTCCAGGACACAAATGTGTGACGACCGAAATCAGGAAGATTTTTCTATCAGCACCCAGGTCTTAGTTTTCACCTCTAGTTCTGGATGTACATTCCATTTCCATCCACCAGTGTACTTTATTAAGATTGTCTTAAGAAATGTATCTGCATGAACTCCATGGGAACTAAAGGAAGTGGGAACTTAAAGAACCGGACAGTTTTCCAAAGATGTTACAATTTCTTTTGAAAAGAAACCTTTGGTTTATTAGCACCAATTTCTTGCCACTAAGCTGTTTGTTTTATTATACATCCTTTAATTAAAAGCTATATATGTAACTTCTTAGATATTAGCAAATGTCTCTGCTACCATTTCATTAAGGTGTTGAGCTTTAACTCTATGCTGACTCAGTGAGACAGAGTAGGTAGTATGGTTGTGGACCTATTTGTTTTAACATGGTAAAATTTTGAGTCAGATTTTAATATTGTAAAATCTTGGGTCAAATAATTCAAAGCCTTAATGCAGATGCAGTAAAACAAAGAAATAGTAAATGAATTGTTTGCATTAAAAAAAAAAAAAAAAACTCAACTGTACTAAATCTGAATCATGTTTCAAGCTTGTTTGCAGTACTTTTAAACATTATTCACTACTGTTTTGGAAGTGAGAAAGTATCAGCCATTTAGAATTTGAATTGGGGTGTTTAGAGCCTGTAAATCTAAATGCTGGCTCAAATTTGTTCCCCAGCTACTTCTTATACCACTATTCTTTTAATGTTTGCATAATCATAAGCACCTCAACACTTGAATACATAATCTACAAATTATATAGTAAAGCTGGTAGCCTTGAAAAAGTAAATGTGATATCTATATGTAGATAAATATATATAGTGGCCTTTCAGGACTGTCACAGTAACACTTTATTTACAGAGCTAATGTTTGTCCTAAATTTTCAGGACCCTAGAGGAGAGCTTTATACAATTACTGATGTGAATTTCTCTAAAGTGTATATTTTTGTGTCCAGTTATATTATTTAAAAAAGTGTTACTTTGTAAAAATTGTACATAAAGTACTGTATAGTTTACACTTTTCATCTTGTGTGTGGTTATTGCTTAATGCTTTTTAAACTTGGAACACTCACTATGGTTAAATAAGGTCTTAAAAGAAATGTAAATATTATGTTAATAAAAAGTTAAATATTTTAATGATTTTTTTTTTTAAAGTCTTGATCTGTGAGTTCCTATAGGGCCTGTTTTGGCTTTGTTACCTTAATCATTTTTACAGTAACAAATCAAAGCATTATTCTTGCTTCGCATCCATTTCTTTTCCCTAAAAAAACTGTAGGAAAACAAGAGGAAAGAAACAAAAATGCAGTATGCAGATTAGCTGGAAGTACTTGATTTTCTAGTGTAGATGTTATAAATCATTCTTGTTTTTTTCTTTTAATATACTTTTTACATGTCATACCCCAAAAGTAATTTTAATAGTTTATTAACAAAGTTCACCGTTGACAGAAATAACATTAAATGCAACACTTTGATTATTAACACATGTACAATTTTACACTGCAAAACAATTTCAACTAAAAGTTTAAGAGGTAGAGCAAAGATTTAGCACATTGGAAGTCCATATACATTTACTACAAAAAAATTTGCAAGCTAATATCGAATGATCTCTATCCTATCTTTGTAAAAATTCGACTTTCCGTGTGTGTGTGTGTGTGTGTGTGTGTGTGTGTGTGTGTGTGTGTGTGTGTAAAGAGATATATTAAAAAGAGAGCTACCTGTATATCATGCATCCCATCCAAAACCTCTGTGTGTGTGTGTGTGTGTGTGTGTGTAAAGAGATATATTAAAAAGAGAGCTACCTGTATATCATGCATCCCATCCAAAACCTGTCACAACATTCTATATATATTACATAGTATTTACAACAAAGCCCCTTCCAAAATCACCAAGAGGCTTCTTTCCTTCAATAGCAAGTGCTTTCAAGTTATTGTACCAAGTATTCTCACTAATACAGTAGTGTATCTAAATGGAGAGGACACGGGGGAGTATCACTGCCTAACATTTACAGAATTTTCAGATTAGATCCCTAGTTTAAGACACTTTGAACTGCCAGTAGTTTCAAGATACTGGCTTCATTAAAAAAAAAAAAAAATACTGTAAAGATTCTTTGTCTTACCATGGAACTCAGTAACATTATTATTATATCATTAATATCTTGAAATGTTTCTTCATCTGTGTAAGAAGGTATTTGAAAGTAATTTTAAAATTATGACGAGCATTAGTACTTTACAAAGACTGATCTAGAAGACTCTTTAGAGAATGCTACCAGGTATAGTTTGTCAATAAGAAAACAAAATGAGGCCCTATGATTCTAGCTGAATTTTTAAAAATCAATTTTTCCCAAGGAACAATTCTTAAAACTTTTAGATACAGAGAAGAGAAGAAAATTGTACCTTCTAACAGTTATTTGTTCTGCCTAGTTTATTAACATTGAAATCAACCCAAATTCTGATACTATAAAAATAAATAAGTGAATATTCATGATATAGATTTTGTATGGTACCAAGTTTTAAAATTCCACTGATAACAGATTTAGCTGCATAACTAATAAAACTCCAAATGGAAAAAAAATTAAGATGAGTATAAACATTAAGGAAGCACTGAAGTTTAAAAAACTTGTCAGTTCAAATGACTAGAGACCCTATACTTAATCTGCTCACATACACTGTCCAAATTATTTTTATAACAAACTTATTAATAGCAAATTTAAATGTTTCAAGGAAAAAATGCTATGAAGGCTTAATTCATTTCAGTTAAATTTAAGGTAAATTTAGAACTTTTCCCTTTAATGTAAATGTCATCAGTAGTACATTGCAGGAGGTAACCATTTTCCCTCATAATTTCAGATGTTGAATTTAAAAGTTTTATTTTACCAATGAAAGTGATGAAATGAATTAGCATTCTTTGGTTGCATAGTATGAGATTATGAACAAGTTTTAGTTTGCCCGGATTTTCAGTGTGATTAGAATCTCCCTTATAAGGATCAACTCTTTCCTTAGAACTGAATTTCTAAAGATTAGCTTAATAAAATTCCTACTATTATTCTATAAAACACCGTGTTCACAAACCAAAAAATGTCATTTACTCACAGTCTTTACCAATTCCCAAGTAGAAATTTGTTCCTGTAACTTAACAAAGGATTCAGTCTAACAGCTCAAGTAAAATTTGAAACTTGCTTATTTAGGATTTGATTTGTGTTGACATATTTTTTTAAGCACCTGAGTTTCTAAAATATCAATAAAAAGTAAAACATGACACTAGAATTAACTGTTTGGTAACTGCCCAGGGAAATATGCTGAAGATGCAGAGGAGAGCACTGTGGGTTTGGAAGATGTCTGTAATGCTCCTAACGTGCCATCTTTCTGATGGTCTGCAAATGAGGACAAAAAAAGGTTACTGGTATTCATTAAGTCTTCATACATTCCATTTAATTAAACTATAGAGTACAAAATCCAGGAATGCCTGCTCACCTGAATTATTAAATAGGTTCTGACTGAGTCCTCGTAAAGGAATGCTATCTTCTCTTTTCTTCAGGTATTTGGATTCCAACCCTAAATTTTCACTACTTAAAAAGAAAACAGTAATAACTTACTTAACAGTCTTTATCAGTTAATTTTGAAGGTTTATCTCATATGTATACACATATATAAGATAATGTAAGTTTTATTTAAAACAGCTTTGTTCAGATCACATTCTTCACTGGCTTCTTAAGCAAATTTAAACATAAACCAAAATAACCTCAGTAAAGAGTATATTATAATAAACTAAAACTTTTAAGAGCTGGGATAAGGATAGTGGGAAAAATGAAAATTCTACAAGTGCCACAAAATGTAAACACTAGCACAAAAGTGATACATGACAAAAATACATGCCTTGAGAGTAACACTATTAATTTCTAAAGATTTCTTTTTCCTTTGACCAAAAGCTCTTCACAATTTTCTAGTGCTTCAAAGTAGTCATGACCAAATATTAATAACATATCACACAATAATAAATTATGGTCAAATTAATACAAATAAGAAAATCTGGGGGAGAAAGAAAGCATTTCTTTCTGTATGCTTCCTTTCTACCACTGCCATCCTTTCTAAATCTGTCCAGTGTTAATCGTTTCCCTAGTATTACTTGTAATAACAAGTTGAAGGCTCTTGCAAAACAGAATAAATCAATCCTTTAAATTAAATGATGGTTGCTCTTTACTCAATGTTCAGAAAAAAAGTGGGTGAATAGACTTTTTCTATTTTACTTTTTTCTTTAATGTTTGATACCCAGTGGCCACTTTTTGCCAGCTGATGAACCAGAAAAAGAAAACTCAAAATCACTGAACAGTGCTAATTTTATGGACAGTTGGTTATATTTGACTTTGTATTATAAATATGATTGTCATATTTTCTGCTAGTAAAACCTCTCTAAGGATTTTTTTTTTTTTTTTTTTTTTTTTTTTTTTTTTTTTTTTTTTTTTTTTTTTTTTTTTTTTTTTTTTTTTTTTTTTTGTTTTTTTTTTTTTTTTTTTTTTTTTTTTTTTTTTTTTTTTTTGGCAGGGCCCCATTCTATCATTCAGGCTGGAGTGCAGTGGCATGATCATGGCTCACTGTAGTCTATAGTGAGCCAGCCTCAGCCTCCCAAGTAGCTGGGACTACAGATATGCACCACTATGCCTGGCCTATGATGAATTTAATATACTAAACATTATGATATGCTACATTCAAGGTGCTTGAATTCCTTAATTCAAGGGATTCCTTAAATCCCTTGTAAACAACTAGATTTTGATTTTTTTTTTAATGGAGGCTCACAAATATTATTTTTTATTTTATTTTATTATTTTATTTATCTTATTTTATTGGGACAGTCTCACTCTATCGCCCAGGCTGGAGCACAGTGGCATGATCTTGGCTCATTGCAACCTCTTGCCTCCTGGGTTGAAGCAATTCTCATCCCTCAGCCTCCTAACTGGGATTACAGGTGCCCACCACACCCGGCTAATTTTTGTATTTTTAGTAGAGACATGGTTTCACCATGTTGGCCAGGCTGGTCTTGAACTCCTGGCCTCAAGTGATCCACTCACCTTGGCCTCCCAAAGTGCTGGGATTACAGGTGTGAGCCACAAACATTAACTATTTTAACACATCATGATCCAATGAATAAAAGCTAGAGAGCTGTGATAAGAACCCTCTTTGAGTTATGTTACTAATTTAGTTTGTAAGGTGGAACTGGAATGATGAAAGCTCATGATAATGAGTATCAACAGACAGGCCGTCAAGCCATTAAATTTTAAGTAAATTAACTACATTAGTAATAATATATTACAAACATGGAGGCCATCCAGAGAGAAAAGTTTACCTGTATGAGTGGTTTAATTTAACCATAAGTCATTGAATCAGTACACTTCACTATGTAAACCCAGTTTAAGACTAAAAAATAGGGAACGGAAGTCACAAATTGGCATTAAAGCTTATCTATGGGAAAATCTCACAAACCTTTTTACTCATATTTTCTATATATTTCTAGCACATTAGCTGGTATCTTAGATTAGATTATGCTGAAAGCAATAAATCAGAAAAATGGAGCTCTTCCAGGGGCAGACATAGCCATTAAGAAAACAAAAACAGCTGACCATGAGGACTTTTAAAAAATTTCTATGAACATGTCTGAGAACATTTAAAAGCCCAGTCTTCAGTTATGTAGGAAAATCTCTTTTGACAAATAAAATTTTACTATCTAAGCATATTCCACATTAAAAAACAAATGAGTAGATTGTTGAAGGATGAAACAAAAAAGAGGAGAAATCTCTTTTTTATAACTAAGAGTGATTCAACTTAAATTCCAATGATCAGTAACTTGAAATCTCTCAGGTAAACAGGTGGGTATCACAGCTCTCAAGCACTGGTAAAAATTCTTTAAGACGGCCTTCGAAATTGCAAAACATTAAATTTTATGTCATTAAGTACTTACTTTTCCTTATCAGTTGAGCAAGGCATACTAATAACTGCTTCTGACTGAACATCTCCTAGCGATGCGTTTGGTTTTGTAAATTGCAAATTAAACTGAACCTGTGAAAAGGAAAAACATCTCATGTTAACTGAGTAAGTTATACAGAATTAGACAGTTTGTTGGGGGTTGAAATAGGTCCTTGCTCTGTTGCTTAGGCTGGAATAAACTGGCACAATCATGGCTCCCTGCAGTCCCAATCTCCTGGGCTCAAGCGATCCTCCCACCTCAGCCTTCCAAGTAGCTGAGACTATAGGCACATACCACGAAGTCTGGCTAATTTTTTATTTCCTGTAGAGACGGTTTCACTATGTTTTCCAGGCTGGTCTCAAACCCATGGGTTCAAGTGATCCTTCCGTCTCAGCCTCCTCAAATCCTGGGATTACAGGGATGAGTCACCATACCCAGGCTGAATTAGACAGTTTTATATTGATATGGGTGGTTAAATTTGTTTTCTGATAAACCTAGGTCGTAAAAATACAGGCTTTGGTCAGGTGTGGTGGCTCATGCCTGTAATTCCAGCATTTTGGGAGGGTCACTTGAGCTCAGGAGTTCAAGACCAGAGTGGGCAACATAAGGTGACTCCATCTTTACAAAATAAACAAACAAACAAATAAATAAGCCAGGGGAGATGGCTTGCACCTCTGGTCCCAGCTACTCTGGAGGCTGAAATGAGAGGACTGCTTGAGCCCAGGAGGAAGAGGGTGCAGCAAGCCAAGACTATGCCATTGCACTCCAGCCTGGTGACAGAATGAGACCTTGTCTAAAAAAAAAAAAAAAAAAAAAAAAAAAAAAAAAAAAAAAAAAACCAAAAACCAAAAATAAACAGGTCTCATCTATATTTTATAACACAAGCACATTCTATTAAAATGAGTTAATAAAAGGAGGCCTATTTCTCTTTTTTCTTTTCTTTTTTGAGACAAGGTTGCATTCTGTCACCCAGGCTAATTTTTGTATTTTTCTGTAGAGATGGGGTTCCACCATGTTGCCCAGGCTGTTCTCGAACTCCTGGGGGGAATCCTCCCAGATCAGCCTCCCAAAATGCTGGGATTACAGGCTCACGTGAGCCACCCACACAGCCGAGAGGCCTATTATTTCTCTTTACCAAAAAAGTAAGTGCCTGTCATACAAGCAAAATGAGTAACAAAATGATTCTTTTACCAATTATTTTCAAACAAAGATATGTACATTAATATATTAAAATAAATGTTAGTGTTAAAAGTAACCAAGGATCACAATAATGCATTTACCTCATGCATTCGAAAAACTCTTCCCCTTTCAAAACCTTCAAAGCCTATTTAAAGATTTTAAATGAGGGCCTGGAATCTGAATTCTGAAGTAGTCAAAAGTAATCAAGTATCTATGCAAAAAATCCAAGAGCATCAGCATATAAGATATACCTTATTTTAAGTAAAAATTACTTAAAAAATACTATGGAATTCGTTTTATATCAGAAAGGTATAAATCTACATAAAATCTATAAGCATCTTAATAGATCAAAGAAAAAATTAATGAACTACTCACATATAATAAAAGACAAAGTACACATCAGTTTTGGGTAAAACTCAAAACAGGAATAGATGGATACTGGCTTAATATGATAAAATTATAAAGATACATGCTACTTTACTTGGCTATTAAGGCTGAGCATCACAAACATATCAGTTCTCCCTATATTAATCTATACTTAACATAAAAACATCACATACAACTAGGATATTTTTAATCAAGACAAACAGATTCTAATATTCTTTGCTTTTAAAAAACATCCAATAAGAGGGAGGCAAATTAAGATACCAGATATTAATACGTAATATAGCTTCTAGCCACCAATCATAAACAATTAGGAAACTGGGCAAAATAAATGAAAAGAATGTTGTCAGAGACAAGACCACAGACAGTACAGGACTGTGATCTCCAAGGTGTAATCCCTACAATTGATCCAGCTTTCTAACTTGAGGCCCCTTCCTGACAGCAGGTGCAAAGGGAGAACATAATTGCTAAATTGACGATATTAAGTTAGAGTTTAAGAAGATTGGATAGCTGGAGCTTGTAGGGCTGAATTCTGATGAGAAGGGAGGCTATACAAAGAACAAGCTCCAGAAATCTGCCTGTCAATGTCCTTGAGTCTTTGCTGTTCTGGGCATATGCATAAGGTAAAATTCAACAAGGCTGGATAAAGGAGCACTTTAAACTGAACAATTTCCAAGGTTCATAAGCAGAAAGACAAAGCAGACAGTCATTAGCTAGGCCTTCAGTGGAGAGCCCGTCACATGCAGGGTCCAGCCCCACAGGGTCTCGTGGGTATTCTGTGTGCGGAGACAACAGATCGTAGAAAAGAAAGAAACAAGGACACAGAGATAGAGAAGAACTCAGGTGGACTTGGGGGACCACTGCTACCAGAGGGTGGAGTCCAGCAGTGGCCCCGAATGCCTGGACATGCTGATATTTATTGCATACAAGGCAGGGGGACAGGGTCAGGAGAGTGACTCATCTGACATGATTGGTAGGGGTCAAGCAAATCACATTCTTACAATACTGGGGGCCACGTGGGTACAGTTCAGGGGGTCATGTGGGTACAGGACAGAGGGCCCCTCCCTCTCAGGTAGCTGCTGCAAGGAGGGGAGGCACCTACATCTGTATCTATCTATGCACTTATCAGAGAGATCAAAGGCTTTTAGGATTCCTCTGATTCTTACTTCTCAGAATTTACAAGGGAGCATTCGAGTGGAAAAGTGGAACATGAAAGTGGGTAAGTATGCTGACCATCGGAGCACAGCACCATGGAGAGGTGTTTAAGCCCCTGGATGTCTGTGGGCTGGCCTGGCTAGTGTCAGACCTTCCTCAAGAGCCAGCAGAGAAGAGTTTTCTCTGAAACTCCCCAGTGAAAGGGAAACTCCTCCTCACAGCCTGCTAAGCAACAGGTGCCTTCCCAGGCACTGGCATTACTGCAAGGACAGACTGCAAAGTAACAGCACTACTGCAAGGCTTTTACTCTCACCTCCTGATCACTTCTCACAATGTCCCTTCAGTTCCTAATTATATTTCACCCAATTATTTCTATATAAGGCTAAAAATGTTCCTACACTGTAATACTAAAGCAAAGGTTAATAATAGAGAATAATGTAATAAGACTGAATGTATAATTATGTGACTGTATCTAAGTCTATTTGGTGTCATTGCTATAACCAAGTAACCAGTTATTTATTATACTGGGACAGATTGTGCCTTCAGTCTCTTGCCATGGCACCTGGGCAACTTTCTTCCCACAGTCGAACCCTTGAAACAGGGCTGAACTACCCCTCAAGTAGAAGGTACTTTAGATGCACCCTATTAACACTAAAGATAAAAAGCATAAACTCTCAAAGGAATCGTAACTTAAATGCCTGCCACTCTTGAGCAGCCACAGTGGCTCCCACCTGTAATCCCAGTGCTTTGGGAAGCCGAAGTGGGAGGATTGCTTGAGGCTGGGAGTTCAAGACCAACCTTGGCAACATAATGAGGCTCCATCATTACAAAAAATTTTACAAATTAGCTGGGTGTGGTGGTGCACACCTGTAGTCCCAGATACATGGGAGGCTGAGGTAGGAGGATCATATAAGCCCTGGAGATTGAGGTTACAGTGAGCTATGATCACATCACTGCACTCCAGACTGGGCAACAAAGCAAGAACCTGCCTCTGAATTAAAANAAAAAAAAAAAAAAAAAAGCCTGCCATTCTTTAAAGAAAGATAAAATCCAGACAATCAACAATGTAACATTCATAATGTTCCACTTCTCAAAAATTACAAAGATAACAACAATATATCATACTCAGAAAAAAAATTAGCCAACAGAAACTGATTCAGAGATGACAGAAATTATAGAACAGGCACACTAACTGTGTAAGAACTTAATGGAAATAAAAAGTATGAGAAAATGGAAGATACAGAAAAAGAGTGAAATGAAAATTCTAGACATAAAATATTCAATATATAAAATGAAAATTTCTAACTGGAGAGATTAACGGCAAATTATACACTACAGAAGAAAAGACTAATAACTTTAAGATATAGCATCAGAATCTACATACAATGAAACAAATAATGAAATAAACTAACAGTCTTCCTGGGACAATATCATGTAATCAACCACGTATAATTGGAGTACCAAGGAGAAACACCAAAAAAGGGAACAAAACAGAAAAAGAAATGTGAATAATGACCAGAATTTCCTAAACTGATAAATACAAACCCACCCATTTAAGAACGTCACAAAAACCCCAATCAGACAATGGTATATATGCTCCACACCAGGGCATAATTCAGTTGTTGAAAATTAATGATAAAAAGAAAATTTAAAAGCATCCAGAGAAAAAAGTCACTTTATAGAAACATGACTACTGACATCTTGCCAGAAAATATTCAATCCAGGCAACAATGGAATAACATCTTCAAAATACAGACAGGAAAAAAACTTATCAACCTAAAGTTCTATATTCACAGATAATGAAGTCAAAATAACATTATGAGACAAAAGAAGAATTCAATGCCCACAGATCTGCACTGTAAGAAGCTTTAAAAACCTGTACTATAAGAGATCTTAAAGTTATTAAAGAGAAAGGAAAATAATATCAGATGAAAATTTAGATAGATATAAAGGAAAAGAGTGTGTAAATGATAATGTATGGGCTAACCAAGGAGACTCTTCTTCATTGTTTAACATCTTTTAAATGCACTTGATTGTTTAAAGAAAAAAAAAAAAGTAGAGCTTATAACAAACATAGAAGTAAAAATTTGACAACAGTAGCAAAAAGAAGGTAAGAAATGGAAGTATATTATTGTAACAGTCTTATTTTATATAGGAAGCAGTATAATAATATTTGAAGGTAGATGATGAAATTGTATATTGTAAACTAACCACAGAGAAAATAAAACAAAGCCAAAAGTAAATATAAAATGAAAACGAAATAAAATGCACAAAATTAACTAGAAAGGAAGGAAGGAAAAAAGAAGAAAAGGGACACAAGAAACAGACAGGACAGATAGAAAACAAATCATAATATGGTAAAACTCATTATATG